CTGTCGGCGCACCCGCAGCACCATCGGGCGGCGTCTTTTGCGCTGCAGCACCTCCGGTAAGTGCGGCAGCTCCCGCTTCCTCCCGCCGTTTCTACTCACCTTCGGTCGACTCATCTTTTAGCCGCTGCTCAACTTCCTGTGGGACTTGTGACTGCGACACCTTCGCAGGGTGTTGGAGCTCCGCTCCTGATTGCGCCGGCGATCCTTCACCTCCCGCGGCCTGCGGCACGTGGTTTTTTTTTCCCCAGCCAAAGAGGGCGCGGCAGCAGCATCATCATTGGCATTGCGTTTCCGGAGGTCCATATTGTACAAAGACGCATAAATATTATTGATCCTCTCAAAAATACAATTATTAATTGCCGTCATATTCGCAGTTTTATCTTTATGTTCATCATGGCATTCACCCACTATAACAAAGTACCAAATATTATACGGTGTTGCCCTCCAGCCCTCGGTATTGTGCACCATTTGGGTCCCCGACGCGTGGCCATCGCCGCCGCAGCAGCAGCACAGCACGCAGAGGACGCACACCAACTGCACACGGCTAGCCATCTCCACCCTTGCCACCGCGGCAAACACACACACAGCCTAGCGAGGAGCAGAGAGAAGGTAGGAGAAAAAAGGACGAGAAGGACGCAGCTACAGAAGCAGTTGCGGATGCACACGAAAAAAGAAGAATGCTTCAGGAGCGTAAAAAATTAAAGGATTGCAACCTCGCCTCCTTTGCCAAACAAGGCGAAAAACGGTAGATGTATTTTTTTTGTTTCGGCGATGAGTACACCTAGAGCGGCACGACGGCCTTTGGGTGGTTTGGGTTCACTATGTGCTATGAATCTTTCTTTTGTGTAGCAATTTTTCTTTCACATTGGTGCTTCCAAGTTCCTTGCCCGTTTCTGCTTTTGCGCAGGCGCTGCGATAGACACGCGGCGTGGTCATTACCAAGACAAATTCAGATGCCTGTGCAGTTTTTTTTCCTTTTTTGAGGGAGCCGCAAGCCCGCACTCGCCACAATAAAGCGGCGAGCGTGCGCGGTGTCACGGCTACCGCGTCGGAAGGCATGGTTGAGGCGCCGTTTTGCTCACATTTCTCGTGGAAGCCATAGGTTCGCCTACAGTTTGACAGCAACTCCTTTTTCTCACAGGAGGTACTTTTAGCGCGCTGCCGGGTGGGGCTTATAATGCGTCGCGCCCCGGCGCCCTCTTTGGTTCCACGCCGCGGACGTTACCACATCCCCTCCACAGCGGGCCCTTTTTTTCTTGAGCCCACCGCGCGCAAGAAGCGAAGCGCAACACCGTGAAGAGCAACCCAAACCGAATGACAGCTGAACCCGCCAGGACCTATTTTGCACCAAGGTGCCAGACAATCAAGGGATATCGCGTTGAAAACAAAGCGCTGAAGCAAAGCAATGGCACCGGCTAGGCGCTTCGCATTTGCCGCAAAGCATGAGAAACACCCAAGCAGAAAGAACCTAAAGACCGCACCGTTTTAGGCGCCGCCGAGGCATAATATGGCCGCTGTGTTTTGTGCTATGCAAGCCCTGCCCGCACGCAGCGCCCACACACTTTGCTTTGGCGCTCGCCACCCGTTGCCGTGCCGATGCGCCCGGGCGGCCGCAAATAATAATGGCAACAGCGAAGGCAAACACCACCATATTCTCATGCAAAGGGAAAAATCCAGACATTGACACTTTTCTTAGCAGACAGATCGCGGTGGCCTGCGTGGGCTTCCTCTTGCCCCCCAACCCAACCCAAGCAAGTGCCTTCGGCACCGTGCCCCTCTTGGATCGTGGAAAACGCTTCCAACATAGAGCTCCGCCGGTCTGCCGCGCCGGCCAGCAGCCCCAAAAAAGTTGGTGGGCCTCGTTCTTGCCGCCGCGCCTGCGACGATCTAGTTTCCGGCCCGAACACCCCGCAGGAGCCTTCGGAGCCCGTCGCCTTGGACTACGCCAAAGTCGCCGGCGCAGTGGGCCACGGCGAGGCCCTCTTGCTTGCGCGGTGAATGCCGATTCCCGGCTCCACCGTGCGCTTGCGCGTGGCGTTTCCCATGTGGCTGGCGCGCCGGGGCGGCA